ACGTTTGACAAGACTGGTCTGCGTCTCATCACTGGAGAGTCGGACAAGTCAATCAAGATTTGGAAGCAGGACGAGAACGCGACTGAAGAGACACATCCACTCGACTGGAAGCCGACACTCGGAAGGCGGAAGTTCTAGAGTAGATTGCCTTGAAGAGACGGAGCAGCCTGTGCATAGTGTTCGGAGTTGGATTGGCGTCAAGAATGTAACATTATTGGGATCATGGCATTGTTTGCATAGGAGGTTATACCAAGCACGGAGAGCGCAATCATTTCTACGGTCATCGATAGCGCATACGAAGACTCGACATGATACAGATAGTTAAACAAGTAACTTTCACCTCAGGCTTGTCCAGACCAATATAAAGCTGTACAGTAGCAAGTGTGCCCAGCCTGATGCATGTGAATACGGAATACGCGGGATACGTCAGTGGTCTAAGCTTGAAAGTGGGTTGTCCAAAGAACACCAAGCCTCCCGCACTCCCAACCATCCCGCTCAAGATGCAGAAACGGGCGGCACCCGCACGATTATGGCCCCCGTGAAGCGCAGAGATCTGGTCTTCGCCGCTATCGCCATCTTCATCGCCTGGGGGTACCTGACTCATTGGCAGCCGAAGCTACACTACCTACCCTACGCCTTTATCGCCGGAGTGGTCGCGACGCTTGCGCTGCTAGCATGGCTCACCTTTACGATTGCCTGGGACAGAGACGTGCGAAGCGGCGGAAAGGTCGACTACGGGCCGCGCCATGTCGCCTTCGTTGCGCCAGACAGGTGGAAAGCTGAGAGGGAGGCCATGAACCTGAGGAACACGTACATGATGGAGCCACTATACCCCGCGTCCTTCATGATATCAGACAGCATTGACGTGCTGATTGGGCTGATACTGCGCGACTTTGTGAAGAGCTGGTATGGCAGTATAAGCAAAAGCCCAACATTCGTCAACGAGGTGGACCGGGCGATACGGGCTTCAATGGGCGAAGTGCGAGAGCGCATACTGGCAGTGGATATGGTCGAGACAGTTGTATCACGCATGATACCTCTTATCACGGACCACTTGCGAGCATCGTATGAGGCAGAGCGCATAGTTCGTGGACGCAAGCTGTCACGGGATATCACGGATTCTGAGGAGCTTGACCTGGCCATTGCAGCCAAATACAAGGAGGGTCGGTTGCATCCGGCGGCTTCGCTGGCATATTCGAATACCAAGCCTATACAGCAGCAACATCTACGAAGCATCGTCGCGCGATTACTGCCCACGATCATACCTGCGAACATGTCCACCAGTCCTGCCGTCAATGTACTGATCAAAGAGCTTGTAGCCTGCGCAGTCTTGTTTCCTGTGATGCAGATGCTTGCTGACCCAGACATGTGGAACCAGCTTATGGAGGGCTATGTAAGAGTCTACCCGCTCGTAGTAGGACGTAGCTAACATGGCAGGGAAAATCTTTGATCCAAGAAAGGAAGACTGTTCGCAAGATTCGAGCTGCCCTCGACGAGCACGCTCCGCCGTCACCGAAAAACCTCAAGAATGTTCAATTCCCGAAACTTGCGCCCGGTGATAACGAGCGACGATTCGAACGTTTCATACGAGCCATCCGGCAAACCAATACCCTTGCAGATGCCAGACGATTTCGCAGCGAGGTGTCAAGTCAACTACGGAAGGACTCAATGGTAGAGGGTCAAGACCCTGTGTACCTTCGGCGCCTAGAAACAGCGCGGCAAATTCTGGATACAAAGGTCGCCAACCTCAGCGCTGGTGGCTCAGTTCGAGCAAAAGTTGCCGAACAGGAGAAGCCGAAGCACAAACGTACCTCGTCCAAGTTCGCAAACGCGTCTCTGCGCGAAGTACTGTACGATGCCTCGGGCCTGTCTTGCTTTATGGAGTTCATGGATCAAGCAGACCTGATGAGGCTGGTACAATTCTGGATTGTGGTAGATGGCTTCCGCAATCCACTGGAGGTAGAGACTGAAGAAGCGCCGGACTATATAGGCGCGCTTCCTGCCTGGACAGAGTCTGATCGTGCAGATCTTGCGCAGATTCACGATGGTTACCTGTCAAAACCGGAGCTGAAGATACTACCTGAAGCACGCCAGGCGGTTTCAGAGTTTCTCAAAGCTGGACGGAAGGCAACACCGCAGCAATATCATAATGCGAGGCGTTCGTTATTGCGTGCGCAGACGGCAGCATACGACCAGTTACAGGAACCCTATTTTCGAAGATTCAAGAAATCTAATCTGTACTACAAGTGGCTAGCTATGGACGAGGCAGCAAACGCTCAGAATAGCACCGTTAATACCAGGACTGTAGCGCAAACCCTTGACAACTCGTCCACGGCGGCGCCTGCTATGGTCCGGACCCAGTCACGGCAGAGGAGTGCGTTGCAGATCCCGCATGGAGACCTGCGTCGAGCTGTTGCATCATCATCAGATCTGAAGAGCCAAGGAAATGTCAAGAACGTCGAACCGCCCGCACGACGCTCTCTAGATGTACAGACGCCATCATCTGCACGCACGCCTCTGTTTGACGACGACTACGACTCCGACCCTCTTGCACACTCGACCGCAAGCCTCAACTCCGACTTTGGCCATGGTCGCACCAATGGTAACAACACGCAGGTGGTCGACGCCATGCAAGCTGCTATTATTGACATCATGGATGAGCCTGAAGGATCTATCTTCTACGAGCCAAGTCTAAAGTCGCCAATAGACAATGTCTCAATGCGTGGATCCGCCGACATACAACGAGTGTCGTCCCCGCGTCCTCAAGGACAATCACATCAAAGCAAGGAAGACCTCAAGCCAAGTATAGCATCACTGGGTCTAGTTGGAGAGCCCAGAACGCGTGGAGTCTTTGATGATGATATCTTTGGCGATGAGGAGAGATTTCTGGAAGACGAGATCGATGACCCCTTACCAAGAAGCAAAGCCGATGAGGAAGAGATACATGAGGCAGCACCTGGAGATCTGGGTCTTGCCGAAGCTATCGATGCACTTACTGCAGATATCGAGCGTCTTGTATCGCAAGAGTCTATCGTTGACTCTCTTACATCGAAGGCGGAGTTGACAAATAACGCTGCCGAACTGAGGATCTTACGAAAATCGAAAGCCAGTCTCCAGCGAGAGATACAGAGGAAGGAGCTACAACGTCAGCAGTACATTGTCCAAGAGAGCGATAACAGCTTGTATGGACGAGCCACTGTATTCATTCAATCTATCATGGTCGGTACTGAAGAAGATGGTAAGGAGTACGCTATGTATGTCATCGAAGTCCGACGACGTGCTGGTGATCAGATGCCTGCCGCTACTTGGGTCGTCTCACGGCGGTATAGCGAGTTCCACGAACTGAACAAAAGGCTTCGAGTGAAATTTCCCCAAGTTCGAAATCTAGAGTTCCCGCGCCGGCAGATGATGCTTAAGCTTCAAAAAGATTTCCTACACAAGAGACGGCTAGGTCTTGAGAAGTACCTGAGGGAGCTTCTACTCATCCCAGCTGTGTGCCGCAGTCGTGAACTACGCGCCTTCCTTTCTCAGGCGGCGATCAGTCCTGCCGATGCGTTAAGAAACCAAAATCCTAACTCCAACGACTTTGTGACTCGCATCTACAACTCGGTCGCAGATGGCATGGAAGAATTCCTGGGCAATATACCTGTACTCGATCAACTGTCTGTCGCAGGTCAAAACCTCATATCAGCCGCTACCACCCAGCTCGCGAATACAAACGGCGCAACAGCCCAACCTGGCAACCTCTCTTCGTCCGGTGTTCTCGTCGCCGGCGAACCCAACAACGACGCAGAGGCAGAGGCAGAGCTCCTCGCCTTCGAAAACAAAGAGCTCGAGCCTTTCGTAAAACCAATCTGCGACATCTTCCTTGAGACCTTTGAGCTAAACCGCGAGAACAACTGGCTTCGAGGTCGCGCCGTCGTTGTAGTCCTCCACCAGCTTCTCGGCGGCACCATCGAACGCAAAGTCCGCGAGTCTTTTGACAACCTGCTGTCTGAAAACAACATCGTCAAGTACATTGATACGTTGAAGGATAGCATGTGGCCCAATGGCAGGATGAAAGCGGGCGTTGAGAGGACCAGCAAGGACAAAGAGGGGAGTAGGAAAGCGGCGAGCGAGGTTCTCAGTACACTTGTGCCTGAGTTGGCGAGTAGTGTGGTGGGGAGGCAGAATGCGCAGTTGGCGGCGAAGAAGATTGAGGGGACTATTAATAATACAAGGCTGAAGTAAGTTTACAAGTGAGTTTAGTGTATTGAGTACAGCTAACAAGATGCAGTACGCATATTGCTTTCACACTGCTAGACGAGATGATCCAGGTTTTGTTTCCGGATGTTAGTACGAAGTAATGTTCAGGGATATGGTAGTGTTGCATAGCTGGCGTTCTGCGTAGGCGTCACAGTGGAGTATTACTGTGGAGTCTTGGATCTATCCGTATCATGTTTATGTTTTGTCTCAAATCCACATCTCTATTTTCATGCTGGTTCTCATCCTCTGTTGGTAATTACGACCACTCGTTCTTTCTTCTTCTTGCTTTCGTTACGTCATAGTGGCGGCCTCCCAGAATAGGGATACCTCAGGCATGAGGATAGGCACAAAGGCAGATAACATGTTGCCCAAAGCAGTTCTGTTTATCATGCGTAGAGGTTCTGCCTAGATATGTCGCGAGGCTGAGGAGCTGGAATCCTGGAATCGATACATGTACGCGCCGGCGAGGCTGAAAAGCTGGAACACCAGAATTGGCTGGTGTACGCGCCCGCATGCATACGCCGTATGCACGCATGTTTGTTCGCCATTGACTGGTGCCCGCTATTCCACCGCAGATAAAAGGAATTCGATACCTCACCTTCACCTCTCATCACAGCACGAAGGGCTTTTCGGCTAGCGTCAACACAAACGCTGAAGAGTTGCTCCTTCCCAGCAAGAGTCGCCAACAACACAATCTTTGCTGCAACACATTGTTTCGTAACTTACACTCAAACTCACACTTCAAAAGACTCACTATGTCTGGACGCGGCGGTGGACGCGGTTCACGTGGCGGACGAGGGGAACGAGGCTGGCGAGGAGGTAGAGGTTCTGGTCGCGGTCGCGGTCGCGGTCGTGGCGGCAACTCGTTCAGCAACCACGATGGCAACCCACAGCATGAGTCAAAGCCTTTTAGAGTAAAAGAGACGGACGAGCAGAGAGAGGCCCGAAAGTCATACAGCTCCTGGAAGCGCCGTCTTGGTGAGGCTGAGACTGATCCGACAACTATGCGGCGCCTTTGGTAAGTACTTCATTCTACGAACTTCACATGAGACACGCACTGACTTCCTACACCAAAACTTTAGGGAAGGTGCATTGGGCATACTCGAAAACGGAGATAGAGACTGGCGCCAACAGCTCCCGCAAGATCTCGATGATTCGGATGACGAGAGCGGTCATCGCCACATTCTCGCCATTCTACGCACGACGGTTGCTGGCTCAGACTACGGTACCTTCCTTGGCAACGCTCGTAATTTCCTCCTCACGATTACGCACTCATCGCTCCTACGTTGTCTTGCGGTCGACACACATGTCGGATCGATCTATAACCTCTTCGGCGGGGTCGCCGGACGTACGGCGGTTCAATATCTGCAGCGGGTTTCCAAAGCTCTCTTAGCAGTTAAAACAGCTGTTTCCTCTGCATTGTCTACGGAGGATCGTCAAACAACGCTTCTGGCAATGGCAATGGCGCTATTCGAGTTGTTGAGGCGGGAGCGAAGAGCACGTTTCAACGACGATATCATACCGCTCGTGGACTCAATCCAGACTGCAAGCGATACTTGCAAGGGCTCTCCAGATGTTTCGGCACGGACTATCAACCGCCTCAACGATATTCGAGCCCTGGTAGCACGTGCGCAAGGATTGCTAGCTGATAGTGTAGATGATGATGACATTGGCGACCACGACGATTCTAGTGGCCAGAGGTCTTTCTATCCAAGAGATCTGGTAGTTCCTTCGGGCCGCTTCGATAACGACAAAAAGGACATCGGTGACCTGGTACTCTTTCCAACTCGTGATGAGATCATGACCGATGAGAAAGAGTTTCTGCCATATACGGATCCAGATCAACCGCATTTCCTTGAAGACCCCGTACAACGCCACATCGACACTTACTTCCGGCTACTACGTCACGACATCTTTGGTGAACTGAAAGGTTCTTTGGCTGGTATCATGCATGCAGTGTCTCAAGACCCTAATGCGCTGTCCTATGCCAATCTTGGAGACATGCGCGCCAATCAGTATACCAACGCCCGTGTCTCCTATGTCACACTCAATAAGCGAAAGGGTCTGCAGGCTCAGATGGAATTCTCACAGCCTGCAATAGTTCGAAAGAAGAATGCCGATCAGAAGGTGAAGTGGTGGGAGGAGTCGCGACGATTCGATGACGGGTCACTCCTGTCATTCATCTGGATCCAAGATAATGTCGTTCAACACATCTTCCTCACTGTCTCAGACAAGACCACGAATCCCAAGCAGGAGTATAGCCTCACACACCATCACCAGATGGCTTACGTCACGACGAGTTTGGTGACTCAAGACCGAGCAACAGTCAAAATGCTCATGCGCGCAAACATTGGAGTGACCCGCGGCCTCTTGCTGGAATTTCCGAAGGTCATGCCGGCGACATTTGCACCCACTTTAGAGAGCCTACAGGCTATGCATAGGCTGAACCGTCTGCCCTTCCGGCAATGGATTGTTCCAGACAAACACAGTGGTACCCAAGGGGCACGTGGAATTCAGAAGATTCCTCCACCTCTCTATGCGCGCACCTCTGGCTTTCGGTTCCCAGCCACAACGCTCATGAAGGACAAGAACGGCGAGCCATTTTCGATCGAACCGACCTCATCGTGCGACGACGAGGCGCTCCTTGACAAGCTTGAGACCAAGACACAGCTGGATCGCGGACAGTGTCGCGCATTAGTTGCTGCGTTGACCCGCGAATTTGCGTTCATTCAAGGACCTCCAGGTACAGGAAAGAGCTATTTGGGTCTCCAGATCATGAGAATACTGCTGGATATCAAGAAGAAGAAGAAGGACCTTGGGCCCATACTTATCGTATGCTATACGAACCATGCCTTGGACCAGTTTCTGGAACACCTACTAGACATCGGTGTGAAAAAGCTCATTCGTGTCGGAGGCATGAGTAAGTCGAAGAAGCTTTCCAACCACAACCTTCGCACCATTGGCGAACAGGAGACCAAAACTAAATCCGAGAAGTACATGGCGGCTATGAGTTACAGGAACCTGGAAGAGAATGAGAGTGAGGCTGGAAAGACCTTTGCTGGTCTTCGCGGCTTGTCAAAGCGTGCGCAGTGGCAAAATCTCAAAGCCCATATCCACGAGGAATACCCAAGAATCTACAACCAGTTCCGTCGCGTCGATGATCAAGGCTTCCAGACGGCTGGCCGTCACCCATTCGATGTATGGATTGCAGGCATTGAAACACACCATCGTCCAGTACTATCCCCGGAGGTCTTACGACAAGTCATACAGAGAGCTACTGGAAATGTGTTCTCCCTGTCAGTTCATGAGAGGAGCGCACTGATCGCTCATTGGGTTTCTGAGGCTCAAAACAACAAGGTTAGCGAGCTTTTTGAGATTGTCAACGATGCTACCAAGACGCAACGCGAATTGAGCAACATCCACGAAGAGCTCAATCGTCGACTACTAGAGGATTCAGATGTCATCGGCGTCACGACCTCTGGGTTGGCAAAGCGCATTTCATTGCTCCAGCAGGTGAAGTGTAAGGTTATCATCTGCGAGGAGGCGGGAGAGGTCATGGAGAGCCACATGATTTCTGCGCTTCTTCCTGATGTTGAGCACCTGATCCAGATTGGTGATCACCAACAACTCCGGCCTTCAGTCAGCAATTTCCGCGACTTGTCGCTCGAAAGCGACCGAGGAAAGCTCCATGCGCTTGACAGGAGTCAGTTCGAACGACTCTCAGTCGGTGAGCCTGGGCGGCCTCTTATGCCCGTTGCTCAGCTGAACGTACAACGTCGTATGCGCCCGCAAATATCCTCGCTAATTCGCGAGACCATATACGACAAACTCAAGGATCATGCATCTACCATTGAGCTGCCTGACGTTGTCGGGTTGCGCCATAACGTCTTCTGGCTTGATCATACCAACCTAGAGAACGAAAAGGGTAGCGATGTACACAACACCAAGTCCAAATCCAATTTGTGGGAAGTCAAGATGGTGCATGCACTAGTCCGGCATGTCGTTCGACAAGGTGTTTACAAGCCAGATGATATCGCGGTACTAACACCCTATACTGGCCAGCTTCAGAAACTGCGAGCTGCTATGCGCAGCGATTTTGAGATTTGTCTCAGCGATCGCGACAAAGAAGCGCTCGAGAGGGATGGTTTTGCAGTGGACAGTGACAGCAGTCCGGACGTTGCGACACCCGATCATGAGAGTCATCAAGGCAAGCCGTTAGAGAAGAAACAGCTATCAGAGCTATTGAGAATTGCTACGGTTGACAACTTCCAAGGCGAAGAGGCCAAAATTATCATCGTCTCCCTTGTTCGAAGCAACGAGAGGCAGAACGTCGGATTTCTCAAGACGACAAACCGTATCAATGTCTTGTTGAGTCGCGCTCAGCATGGCATGTATCTCATCGGTAACGCAGACACATACTCTAGCGTCGAGATGTGGCAGAGGGTCATTGGCATGCTACGTGCGACCGACTCGGTGGGTAAGGCCCTGGTTCTGTCCTGTCCAAGGCATCCCGATACGGACGCTGAAGTACAGCAACCTGAGGACTTCCATAGGCTAAGCCCTGAAGGGGGTTGCAGGGAAGCATGCGCCGATCGTCTCGATTGTGGTCATCAATGCGGGGCCCGATGCCACTCGGAAGCGATGCATGCAGTCTTCCTGTGCGAGCAGCCATGCCAGCGCCGACATCAGCCTTGTGGTCACGCATGCCAGAAAGCCACGTGCGGAGAGTCTTGTGGAAAGTGTATGGTCCCACTCGATAACGTAGAACTTCCATGCGGTCATGTCAAGCATGGTGTCGCCTGTCACCGTACCCGAAACATGTCCAGTATATCATGCGACGTCAAGGTCTCGAAGCCCATACCTGGCTGTGGGCACGATGTGATCGTAAAATGCTCAAACGATGTTTCCGGGCAAGATTTCAAGTGCCCCACTCTATGCAGTGCGCCTCTGTCTTGCGGCCATCCATGCCCTGGAACTTGCGGTCAGTGCAACACTAAAGATATGTACAACCAACCGGTCGTCAAGCACGCAGCCTGCACGAAGACATGCGGGAGAAAGCATGGAACTTGCAATCACGATTGCAATCGCCTATGCCACGATGGTACAGATTGCGGTCTGTGTCAAGCGCCATGTGAGGTGAGTGACATCTATCTATCCCCAAAGTGTATTCTGACTCCATCTAGGTACGTTGCAAGCACACTAGATGCCCGCAGAGGTGCCATGAGCCTTGTGCGCCGTGCGTCGAGCCGTGTGTTTGGTCATGTGAGCATCAAGGCGACTGCAAGATGCCCTGTTCGGCTCCGTGCAGTCGCTTGCCCTGCGACCAACGTTGTACAAAGCTCCTTCTATGCGGTCATCAATGTCCGAGCATCTGCGGTGAAGTATGCCCTGAGGACTACTGTCAAGAGTGTGGCATGAAACGTGAAGAGCAGCCGGACATGATCATGATGTTGCCATACGCTGATGTCGACTTGAATGACTCGCCTATAGTCGTTCTTGGTTGCGGACATTTCTTCACGACTGAAACACTGGATGGACTTGTCGGCCTCAAAGATGTGTACAGTCTCGACGCATCCACAGGTCTCTATACCGGGCTCGTTGAGAATGCCGAGCTTTCCGCATCGATTCCACAATGTCCAAATTGTCGAGAGCCTATCAAGCAATTCGTCACTCAGCGGTACAACCGACTCATTAATCGAGCTGTCATCGATGAGATGTCTAAACGCTTCATTGTAAACGGTCAACAGGAACTGCAGCAACTACAAGGCCAGCTTGAAGACGTCCGAAAAGAGCTTGAAGCGTCGCAAAAGGGTGTTGTTCCGGCCGAAATTATCCAATTACGTGGCGAAGCGGCTCACGAGTTTACCATGCAGTCCATCAACGACGAGATCAGGAACCGTTCCGGAGACGCTGTCAACCTGTTGAATGCAGTAAAAGCGTTCCAACGTCGGATGAACATTCGACATCAACCGACCTACAAGCTGCACGAAGCAACTCTTCGTAGTATATCGCAGGACGGCTCATTGCATGCCGAGCTCGCAAAGTTGATGATCGATTCTTCAAAAACGTCCGCCAAGCGCGATCGTGACCAACGTATCGTTCTTGGAGGTAGACTGCTGGAGATCAAAGTTCGCTGCTTGGTGCTTGAAGACAACTTTGAGATCATGCGTGCCGTGACCCGGAAAAATCTTCGGAGTGAACTGCCCCTTCGGTTTTCAGGGGGTGCGCCGCTCGTCGAAACGCATCGGTTCCTCAAAGACGCCGAAAAACTCATCGGTGATTCTATCTGTGAGAGTCTGCCCAAACTTGCAGTTGAGGCAACACTCCACTACGCACGAGCTGCTCAGGCTTTCGGTAGTGCCCAGGCTGGTCAAAACGACGATCGCGCCAAAGCTGTCAACTACCGTAACGTCGCAAAGGATCTGTTGGCGAAGGCAGACGGGCTCTGTGAGCATCCCTTCGGCGGTCGTGATGATTTGCGCCAAGCTATCGCCGCTGCATCGACGATGCTGAGCAAAGAGTTCTATGAAACGGTATCGAAGGAGGAGCTGGAGTCTATCAAAAAGGCTATGGTCAGCGGACGCGGCGGTATCGCAACTCACTCTGGACACTGGTACAAATGTGTCAACGGACATCCTGTAAGTTAATGCTTTTCACTCTCACAAAGTACGTTCTAACACAACGCAGTTCGCAATCGGAGAGTGCGGCATGCCTATGGAGGTGGCGCGTTGTCCCGAGTGTGGCGAGCGTGTTGGTGGTCAGAGCCATACCGCTGTCGCGGGAGTGTCGCGCGCAATGGAGATGGAGATTTGAGATGGAATCGTTTGACGCTTTTGTGAATCCCGTCAGCCTCAATCGTGAGGTTTACTGTGTAGACGGATGCTGTAGATCTCAATCGCGCTCGTCCAAGCTCTTTGGCAATATCATCTGATGCGATGTAGTTACCTCTAACGGACCAGTTTGCTGTGGACTGTACTCTCGTCTCGCAGTTCTCCCGTGAATGGCTGTATTGTCGTCGCAGCACATGTCAGGTTGGCCAGAAGGTTTTTGGATAAGCAACAGTAGTACGTAATAATGTGAGATAGCGAGGCCCGCTCCTTTATCACCCACACCGCCGACAACATGTCTTCTCGTCTTCTTCCTGGCCATTTGCCGTTATTCGACGGTGTAATCACCCAAAAGAACACACGCCGTTATAAACGAGATTTCGCGTGCTGATCAATGCGATGGCCAAGTTCGCGATGTCTTGATGGAGGAAGAGCAGAAGGCGCTTGGTGTTCTTCCATCTGGGCAACACTGCCGAGTTGCCGGGGTAATTGCGATGTGCAGTGTCGCTTGTCGGTTTTCAGTTCGCCAATCATCCACCATGGAATATCGCGAGGGAGCTATTGACTTTGTGGAGCATCGTCTCTACCCACTGGATCTGGGGGCACAGTATGATAGAAGGCACTCACGCGCTGTAGCATCGCGAGCGCACTTGTGACGCAGCTCAAGCTACTCAAGCGACAAAACGAGGCTGCAAAGTATAACATATGCAGCTCACCCGTCCCTGCATCACTCGGGTTGAGGCTATGTGGGCTGCCCTGGAGACGGCTCGCAGAACCCCCTGTCTTGTTTAAAAAGTGGAAATTTGACCCTGCCGCTAGCGACATGGCTCACATTCCTCATTGGCCTGCTAAAGGAGCTTCTCCGCGCTTCAAGGAGATGAGGCCCATGGCTCTGAGCGCCGCCATCCGCCATCGCATTGCGGTGAGGATATCGCGCATCACGATGGCCGACGATGTTGAGTGTTTGAAGTTGTGGAGTGGGTGACAAACGGGCAGAAGAACGAACAATCAAACGTCGCGCATCTAAACGCCCATCCAACCAGAAACATCACAGCATAAAGGAGCGAACCCGATCGACGAATCACTTTCGCTTGCGCGTCAATTCCAATTCCAATGGCTATTTGTTCGCCCGCAGCCTTGTCACAAGATTGGTGTTGTAATCTTATTTTTCCACCTTCCGTTAGCCGCCATGCCCCCCTCAAAGGGCCTGAGGCGAGCAAACCATCGTGAGTTCCTGAGTCGGGCCCCAGTTTCAAATACTGCCGGGGATTCTCCCTTCTCATCTCTTCTCGCCGCATCGCTCTCCAAACCTCTACGCTCATTACTTTTTTGCGACCCTGCGTTTGCTGTTGCTGCCCGTCATCGTCAGCTTTCTCCACATTCTTTCATAAACGTCGGTCCGTTGTTCTAAGCCACACGTCACACGCGGGACTATCACACTCATTGTAATTACGATATTCAACACGAAACGACAGTCAAGATGAAGGCAAACACTATGATGATGGCGTTGGGTGCGCTTGCCATGGGCGCGAGGGCTCAGGATGCTGTTGCGTAAGACATCTCCACAATCCACATCCCCATCTGCCTGATCTCATCCGCAACGCGACTACGACGCGGCTCACCCGCGATAATCACCTCTAGATCCTTGCTAACATGCTGGTAATGCAGGCCCGACGTTCAGCAATCCGTTCTCATGGTCCTCGCTCAGGCGATCCCATCGGATAGCTTAGCATACGCGCTCGCATCGTCCTCTGCATTCGCGGCTGAGATGGCATCGTCTCTCTCCGCTGGCAACACACCAACTTGGTACCAAGCGCTCCCAACGGACGTTCAGAGCCTCTTGCCTCAAATCTACCCTGCTGCCGTTCAAGCTACGCCAACACCGACTCCTACGCCATCTTCTAGCGCGTACGTCGTGAAGAGCAGCAGTGCGGTAGAGAGCTCTAGCGCTAAAATTACGCCATACCCAACTGGAATGAACAGCACCATGGTCAAGCCTACCATGAGCGCTACTGGAGGTGCTAGCATCAGTGTAACACTGAGTCCCAGTGACACTGCTTCTTCCACCCCGCCTCCTCCGTTCGAAGGCGCGGCCTCCAGGCTCTCTGTCGGCGCCGGTCTTGGTGCTGCTCTCGTTCTTGGTATGCTCGCTCTGTAGACATACTCTTGTCTACTCCTGCTTTCTACGTTCGTAGCATCAGGCTGCTCCAAGATGTCATGAGTTCATTTGAAGGCATGCGTCTTGCAGTAGCCTGTTGCTCGTCTTCACTATAACGTTTCTTTACGACGCGATGCTGTTATTCTTCTGGGCAACGATTCGCAATATACCTTTTTGACTTTTTTGAATTTGATGAGGGGAGGAAACTGAACGGGCGGATTGATGGATCTTCATGTGATGGCTCTGGCAGTAATGCTACTGCATCCTGGTTTGCTGGTTTGTCGTTCGAGCGAGCGAGTTTGGTGTTGGTGGTGGTAGATAGTTGTAAATAGCTTAATATTTAATCAGTCGACGCTGTAAACAACGAGGTTGGTAGCTAGGAATGAACGTGATAAAGTGATGGCTGAAACACTGTACTTAAGTAACGTTCTCCCAGGTCCGTGAGGAGGCGTAAGCAACACGCGTCCTGCTCGTGTTGAGCTGAACCTAGACCCACGCCGGATCCCTTCCACTGACCCACAACAGGACTGTGTTGAGTGAACCGACGTCAACAAGCTCCGAAAATAGAAACATCTCCCCGGAAGACAAGACATGTTCTAGACCTTTTTTAACGTTCATTCAACAATGACTAGATTTTGAGAACGCTACGTTTGGCAAGACCGAGTCTCAAAGTGTACGATCCTTGCTAAAACTCCCACACGAACAGGTGTTACACTGGCAAGCCTCTTTCTGCTACATATCACCAATGTAACAAGCTCAGTAAGATACTCGGTTCCTGTAGCTGTCTTTTCTATATGGAGTCAAACTGTTTATTACCTGTCAATGGCTCAGCATTTTCTTATCTCACTTACCTCTAATCGTGTCTCAATCTACCCACGGTACACTGCAAGCCTGCTATATCTCATCAATGACATGAAGGACGTGTGGCATATAATGCGCAGACTTTCCCGACAGAGACCTTCCAAGACAATGACACCAGACGGGCACAGTATGATGACACCACTTCTTGCGATGGTAATTCTACTTATAAGCTATCTAAGATCCCTCCTTACGATGAAAACTGTTACATGTCTTCAGTCAAGGGTATGATAGTAACCTGTGGTCCTTTCTCACTCGCTTGTTCGGCCGTACTCTGCACCTCATCGTCGTCCTGTGTTGGTCTGCCATCTATACTTGCAAGAAGCTGTACAACACCAGCGACGCTAATTGCTAGTGGAATAAACTGGCCGATGGTTTTAGCGCAGTCCACGTCTTGAATCCTATTCCATGATATAGTCAACTCAATTGCAAGAATCACAATGGTGACTGATGCGATTTGAAACGCCATAAAGGGAACCCTCCAATTCTTTCGCTGCCTTGAGGCACGACTGTGCAGCCAGTTAGCACAATTCCAGAGAATGTTGGGGAGTCATACTCTCGGTTTATTTCCCTCTTCAATCTAGCATTCATCCAAAGGAATCCGGGAGACAGAGCGAACAAGACAATTGTCAGGACTAGCAAAGCCGTCTTCAGGATGATGTTGAAGGTGCGGAAGCCATCGCTGGTCAATCCGAATTTGTAAAAGCCGAACCCAAATCGCTGGCATGTGTTTTCTCTTCTTGCGAATTTTGCAACTTTGAATATCCAAAACCACATTTGGAAGCCAATCTGGGCAACTTGGACGAGCCCGAAGGAAAACCAGTGCCACAAGCTTGAAGAAAACCGTGACCTCCTGCTTGATTTCAATTCGGGTTCGGAAGGGATGAACACGTCCCAGAGCATTGCGGTCAGCCAAATGTATTGAGAGCCAAATACCAATAACATCGTGATGTATATCTCAGTGATTTCGATGTCATTGAGAGCAGTCTCAACGACAAGACCGATGAAAGTTGCTGATGTGAAGAAGGCGTTTGACGTCCGCAGACACGGTAGTTCGCTCGGGACGTAACAGGCAGCTATAAGCAAAGATAGCCATTGAAGGTAGGATCCGATTCGAATTCCAAGACCGTACATATCAGAATTGCCGGACAACTCGCAGATAGTTGCCATCTCAAAGGAGGTTTGCAGCGATGTTTAAGAGCAGTTGGAAGTAAGTTTGTAAGAGATAGAGGTATACAGCAGGAAACAATCTCGAAGCAGATACTAGAGCTATTTATCATGTCGGACTGAAGTTGGATCTACGAACATCGTGATCTAGTTTGTGAGCGCGTCTTCAGCTGAGTGTTGGTGTGGCAGCCATTGCACACGAGATGTAAAAAAGGTCGTCAGATTCCAATGCAGCATAAGGTCTGGACTTTCTGCTATAGCGAGATAAGAAATGGCGATTGTATCGATGTGGCCGCTGATGTCTTGCATGGGTCAACGTCCTGCATGAACTAGGACTTGCGGGGGAAAAGCAACACTCAGGAAGTCGAAGCGGGCGTATCACAAAGCTTGTCTGACGAGAGTCTGAAAGAGAAGCAAATGCCATGGTGCGCTACATGTCTACAGTCACAATCGAGACCACGAGAAGCATCTTGTAGGTTCAGCTCAAAGGTGGGGCCGCGGCACCGGTCCCTGTCACTACAATAGCCTATCAGCTTTGGAGTATCTGATCAATATCTTCACGGTCGCTTGCTCGCATTTTTGACACCCGCTATGACACATCTCTCTTGCCTTGGAGGCGACCGAGAATGTGGCGTATGCAAGACATCATGTCACAAAGTCACTTACCGCGAAGCGAGCGATCTTTGATAGGGCCAGCCTCTAGCTCGGGTCGCGAACCGAAGAGTTCCGTGGAATTCACATCCAGTTGTGGACTAGAGCGGTGTGGCGCCTATTCGAAGCTTCTGGTCCCACTTTCAGGTGCAGGCTTGTACTGGGCTACCGGTGCTTATCCTCAAAAGCTTGACTTTCGAGCCAGTTCATCTTGACGATCTATGTGCGAGCGATGAGGCTCTCCACGTCGTGAACACCGATCTTATACTCCTTCTCTATCTTCTCACTCTTCGCCTGTTCTTCTTACTTGATAACATTACATGGAACATGTTTACCTTGCTTACATTCGTACAGAGCAGCCTCGCCGACAAAGAAGAAGAGAGATCCGGACGTGCGACGATTCGAGCGTCGATCTCTCACAGTCTGCTTGGCCTCACGGAAGTGGTAGCTGACCAAGACAAGTGGAAATTCCCCACGGATGCATTACCATTCAGCCACATGCCCTTAACTGATGATTGATAGGGTTATGGTAATTTAGATGTTATGTATAAAGTGTACGCAACAGCGATCTTACTGCGTCATCGACAGCTCACTAAAAACATGAACTGCAAAAGACATAACCAAACAATCTCACATCCTCTCTCAGAGACAAATTACGCAAGGTTAGGAGGGAACAATAGCATGAATATGATGTGAGCCGACAACACAATCTCTTACAATCAATTTCTAATCGCGAGCTCGAGAAGCATCGGACCCGCCGTAAACCGAAGCGACCAAGATTCAACCTAGCTCGAAAGACCAGGAGCCCTGCGCCTATGGGGGTCAGGCATAAGTAGTTTGTCATTACTGTGCCAAAGAAAGAAGGTGAGACAAATGCACTTTAGTGCAAATTCTTATATCTACGTATCTACATATCTACATATCTAATCTCATTACCATTAAAAAGCCCCAGAGGGCAAACAACAGGTCATAATCGTAAAGTTCCTCCGCCACGCAACCATTTCCAAGGTCGCAAACCCTCCAGGAACCGTGATCATGACGCTCATCGAAGGCGTGTAGTAGGTATCATCGTCTAAAGCGCGCGAAAACAAAACCTCTGCCGTGATATCATAACAATATAACAGAAGAAAAAAAAAGGCATCCTCCAAATGTACACGTGCATGTCGCAATATGCACAAGTTTCTCCTCGGCTCAGTAATCATCCAAAGACTGAGCCTTATGATCGTGATCTAATGAACAACATAAAGAAATTCGTGATCAAGTTCAGCCTAGAAGTACGTGTCGGCAACGTCACGTCCACCACGAATGGCCCATTCGACAATTTCCATGCCGCTGAGTCCACTGGCGTAGTACGTCTTCTTCTGGCCTTGAAGCTTGTTAAGCTTACTGTATGCGCCGCTAGAAAGCGCGTTGCCTTCGAAATGCGGGAAGTAATCCCACTTCTTGAAAGCTTTGACGTCGTCCTCGCAAAAGGGCTGGGATGGCTCTGTGGCATTGCGCGGATCCTTGTTGAGCTCAGACAAGCTCTCAACGAGCAAGTTCCGTGCAGCGTCCTCGGTTTGGAACTCGTAAGGACCCCAAGACCAGGCAACGGAGACATTGGATTCGCGACTCAGGTGAAGAACAGCTACTGGCTCGCCGTCGTTTGGCGGTGGAACCGTATCGTTGGCGCTTTCAGCAATGTAGGAGACTCCGAAGGGAAGCTCCAACTCTACCGCGGAAGAGTAGTATTGGTGGGTCGTGATGTTGGCGAAAGTGTCATGCTCCTGCTCAGTCAAATCTACGCCAATACGCTCCAAGTTGTCCATGTTTGGTGGGAAGGCGAAGATAACAGAGGAGCATTCCTGCTTCTCCCAGGTGACATAGCTGCCATTGGGTGCAGGGGTGGTGTATGTCAAGATAGGGTGGTCGCCAGACCGATCAACGCAACGGACCTCGGACGAGGTGTGAATGGGCGTCTTACACAGCTGATTCTTGGCGTACTCAACGAACATCTTGTGGAAATCCATGTAGTAAACACTGTGTAGGCCGACAAAGGCCGTGAGGATATCCGGGGCGAAGTACTGCAGGATGTACAGCTAATCACACGTTAGCGTCCTGCATGCGCAATCCCTGCAAGATTTTCTGAGAATGACGTACTGCTGGAACAATGTTGATGTCGCCATAACCATAAAGCGCAACGGGGTTGACAAGGAGAATAGGAAGCGCTGTGAAGTTATTCTGGCGGAACCATTCTGCGCCGGATACGGTGAATTCGTCTGGTACACCATTCTGTTCCTGCATTAGCCTACCGCGCTTTGTGTAACGGCGCATTGCAACGGGTGTCGTACCTTGTAGTTCACAACACTAATCGGTCGGAAGCGCTGATTCCATAGCTGAATGTACCTCGGGATTTCTGCGGATACCTGCGCAGTAAACTGCGGGGTTAGGGTGGGGTTCATGGAAATGTCGCCGGTGGTATAGTTGTAGCGGTACATTTCGCGCGCACCAGCAAGCGCGAAGGGCTCAATGGAGACATTCGTCTGGTTGAGGATGCTGATGGTGTCTGTGTATGTCGCATTCGAAAAGAAGGCGGCGCCGAGTGGGTGGAAGATTCCTCTGGAAAGGTGGTCAGCCGCGTCTAGTGTGCATGGGAAGGCGGATGCTGTGTAACACTTACTGGTCGTCGTACCAAGCCTGGCATTTACCACCAACCTCCGCTTGGCGGTCGAACATGACTGCCTTGATACCCTTCTCTTCCAAACGACCGGCAGCAGCCAGACCGGCAGGACCTGCACCAATGATGCATACCGGGTGCTCTTCACAATTGCATCGACGGCCCTGAGGAAGGGCTGATACCGTGCGCAATGAAAAGGCAAGCAGTGGTAGTACTAGCGTCGACCACATTTTTGGGGACTTGGATGGGGATTGTATGAACGAAGAATGGAGACAGCAGATCTTTTAGGGAAGCGACGAAGTAGCTACAGCTTATAATAGCTGCGACGCGTCTTCAGGTCCCTGCATCCTTTCGGGTCTATAACTTTCTCGTTTGCAAGTAACTATGAGGAGGGCGAGCTGGGCAGGCGCTGCACGGTGCGTTGGCATTAAACGGCAAAGAGCAAGGCTAGCACCCCGACCTGAAGCCAGATGGGCGATTTGCAAGCCTCATCAGGCCCGAAGGAGCATCAATGAGGTAAGTTTGAACGGGCAACGGTCGTGCGGCGAAGCACTGGCGCCCGCTGTGACGCTTTAGACGAGGGTCTGCAACTTGAAGCGTTGGTTTTTATTAATTTTCACCCCTGGCATAATCGTAGTCCAGGTAACCGCCGCCGTATCTGAGGGCTCCCTTTCACAGTGCCGCTGAGAAGCGTTTCTCGAAGCGCATCGGATGCTCGCAATCGCTAAAATCACACTGCAGGCGCTAGAAGCGGTGAACAGCTGTCTGCAGATGTCATGCTGCAGAGCGTATGCGGTCTGTCTCTGGTGCCGCTCAATTGGTGCCGAGGTTTGGCCTTCAGCCCTGCCACTAGTTTCCAAGCCACCGTTTGAGGCCCAGCCGCCCACACAATCGGGAGTGGTTCCTGACTCTTGAAAAAGCTCTCCTGCCCGACTCAATTGCAGGTGCGCTCGCTGTGTGAGACGTCGCAGTTCCGGTATAAGGACCGGGCCATGATTCGGTATCCAAGGCCGCTGCGCCATATGCCCGTATACATTACGGCGTGGACGTCATACTGAGGCGATCATGTCTCTGCGTTGGCCTCTCCGCGAGCCTGACAGCTCACCATCCCGCTCAGGGCGATGACATTTTAAGCCTTGAGACCGAAATTGCGACCGCAGTAGAAGTTTTGTAGAACAACGAGGCAAGTTGGCAGAGTGACATCATATGCGCTGCACAGACCGACCGCCAGCCCAAAGTTCGCAAACCAAAGAGATGAGTTCAGGGTCCAGCTGAGGCAGAACAAAAGCAAAGAGCTGTCGTCGCACCATGCTTCTACACTCCACACCACCAGGATGTCTGTTCATTTCGACGATGTTTGATGCGCGCGGCATGACGAAGAAGCCCCCGATTAAATGATCTCACCGCATGACGACTGCTTCGGGAGTATACATCCACGAAATGAATCTGCCCGAAAGTAAAGCAGCAGGCGGCAAACGACCTCCGAATGGTCTGCTTCAGGTCCGAATTTTGGAAGGAAGACAATGCGAAAACGCGACAATCAGCCTACCGTCACCTTCAACCGGTGGCGCAGTCTACGCGAGACGCAAAAAGAAGCAGCGGCATGGTTGTTGCGTGTCGCGTGGGAACACCTCAACAACAAGCCAATCGTAGCCCAAACATAAAAGAAGGGACAGCCAGAGGAATGTTTGAAATCGTGTTATTCGCTATCGTGCTCGACGCTTTTTGAACGAAGAGAAAAAGAAGCTTCTGCTAAGAGCGCGACTCGCTAAACCTGAGAAATCCGCCCAGTTGTCGTATCCGACGGGTATTGACAAGAAAGAGAAAAAGAAAGTGCTACGGTGAGCTGAGGTGAGTTAGGTAGAAAGTGCCCTTTGTGGGTCTACCAGCTACTGGACGTTGAAACATCGCTCGTTGAACGGATGTGCATATTAGACTAAGAAATAATGGAAAGTACTGCGCCACGCGATCAGTACATGAAAGCTTTTTGCTGCTCTATATCGATATCAAACCGACTCTTATCGGTATCGCCGCTCATCGGTCGTTCCGAGAGGGGACGGTAATGCACCGGAGCAATGGCGGTCCCGGGCCGCGTCTCATCGTTGTCCGTGAGTTTTCGGGTATCCATCTCGACTTGGTCGATGACAGGGGTAATCTTCTCCTTCCTTTTGCTGCTCTGCGAGTTGTTGCCGTACTTGGACCCCTGCGCTCTTGCCCGGTGGGGGAAGAGTAATGGCTTGAGCGCTGGGATACACCCGCAGATGACACCGACGTTTGTTTCAACGGCGGTCCAAAGCCAGATCTGGTATCCTTCCCAAGTGGAGTCGTATGTCTCGAAGAGTGTGTAGTGAACCCAGTAGGCTCGGAAGCTGCTCGCAACGACAATGACGCCACCGACGGAGAAGAGAACGACAAGGCCGACGCGTTGAGTCCATGGTAGCGAGAGTGTGAATAGCGTAGGGATCGGAAGTGCGTAGATCATAAAGTCGGTCACCACGTTGAGTACACTTTGGACGACTAGTGGTGGTCCCTCAGGAATGCAGTCACGGTGGTCGGCTTTGAGCTCCCAGTAGCTGGAGATTGGACTAAACTTGTCAGCACTAGAATGGCTTGAACACGTGCGTATACATACATGCATTGTACCCAGAGTGCAACTAGGAAGACAACAAAGGCGGCGAATACAAGCGCAAAGGTTGCCCAGACGAGCTTGCGGAACAGTGACTTTTCTGGTGCGATGCGAAAGTACGATACGAGGATAGACATCTTGACCGTGGAAGAAGCAAGGACGAATAACGTCTGACCTGCCATGGATGCCTAGGGCCGTCAACATCAGCTTGTGGTGGTACGGTTGCACACTGTCGTACCTGTCTACCAACCATCATCTCGTGCGGTGTGAGGTCCCAAACGTGGCGATCCCAACCATAGAGTTGGGATGCCATAATGACAATGACTGTTGTGCCTGTATCGAATGTTAGATGATGAAGTTTCGGAACGAGATCGACTTGCGTACCGATGCTGAAGACCATTGCCACAATCATGAGGTAGTCGTCATACCAGCTCTTCTTCAACCATGCTATCCGTACCCAAAGTCGGAGAAATACAACAATCATAGCAATCGGTAATAGTGTCAACTCGACTATCATCAAACCCGAACCCCTCGTGGTCGGGTCGACGTAGTTCGGCTTGGGCCATGTCGCAAGGACCTCGGGCGGCGGGGACCTCATCGTGATGGCGTATGTGTTTCGGAAGCCGTCAACGTATGTTAATGGTAGGTGTATAAGACTGAGGAACGAGCGTCACCAGCGTCCAAAGAGCACGGGACTGGGAATGGACAGGAATATAACCATCAACTCAGGGCGAGCCAGATCTCCACCCATATGCTCCAGCTGCGCCGTGCACGAAGGCTCGAATACAAGTGGGACTTGGCCATGGTTGGGAAGCATGGTATGCCAGAGTACACAAAGCTCATCTGCGCAGTACCATTGGGAGCGCTGCACGGGAGCTCCGTTGCGGGTACGGAATAGTGTCGGTTTCGCCCGCAGGGGTCCAGGTACCAGCGACATCCGTAGTCCTTCAGCTCGCACCGTGACTGGTACAAAAGACAAGTGAAGTGTGGATAACTGACCAGTAGCCAGGAGCTGACTGTGGAGCGTTGATGTGACCGGGTTCAGGCAACTTGTTGCTGCGGCTCATCAGTGGATAGAGCGAGATTCCACGCTTAGCCAATCGCTTTGTCCATGCCGGGGTAGCTGGAAAGTAGTACCGGAGCCGGCGTCTGGACGTTTTGCCGCAGCTCAACTTGATTTGGAGGCCGGAAAATGAGCCGATACTTTGGGATAACAGCGGCGTCATCTAGATTACTGCATTCTGTCAAGCCATAATGCTATTTTTCCCACGATAGCGCGAATGTCGCGTGTCGTCGATGAAGAATCAAAGGGTCCAGCGTTGAGATTTGCCTGTCGTGGCGAAGCGCGCCTCGGATCGCCCGCCTACCAGCAGGGGCCACCCCCGGTCTCGTCTATCTCAACAACGAATAACCTCACCGCATCACACGTATGTGTGATCCGCCTTCGCGATGCGCGAAATCCTGCGGCTGCGGGTTCTGGAGGACGCCAGTTGAAGTCTCCGCTCTCTCGTGGCTTGCAATACTCCGCCCGCCTCTATTCCACATTACCTACTCGCCGTCGAATGCTAGCTGTCTAGTCCATGGTGACGTCTCGTCTTCGGTACCACATTCCCAGTGTTTGTCGTCAGCACGTTCTGTCTTTCATGTAGGAAGCCACAGTAAGCGGTATCCCCGTTCTAGCTTACCCTCAGGTACACACGGCTGCTGGTATCCAGGCTCACGCGATCCATCTTATGAGACATGTTAAGACCAGGTTTGCCTACGCGGGCGCATCGGACGGCATCTATTTGCGCCACGCAGAAACTTCGAGTTGGAGGTACGGGTACGAAGGCCTCGATCTCACCTGCCAATTTAGATGCCTGGTCCTGGTTTTCCAAAATCTTCATCCCTCTTCCTTGCAAAGATCACCCTTTCGAAACCGCTTCCCCGGCCAGAATTTCCTGGCCTTTGGGACTGGCCACTGCAGTCAGCCGTTACGTACTTCCACCGTCAAAACACTAATGCTCCTTCCGCGGCTGTGCTCCACTCCCTGGAGGTACGTAGCTCATTTACCGACATGCACGCGACGCCTTGGTGTACCTACGCTTTCCGTGCTCGCTCGTTGGCAACGGTTTTACTTCTTCAGCTCCTCAAGTATTGGCTACCAAAAACCACACCCACAGCACGGGTTCTTCTCCTATCTATCCCTATTGGCAATGCGTGGGTCCATTGGTGTGGGGTACGGCCTGGAATTAAAGACCCGCTAACCTCAGCGGCTAAGCATCAAAGCTTCTCCTTCCCGTCTGGTCTCACTTATCGCATACGATTGGATGTCCACAACATGTCCAAGCTGATCGATATCCGCTTTCGTCGCTCAACATATCGTTGACTCCTCGGAAGAATCTTTTGATCGCACCATGTCAGGCCTAATCGAGAGCATCACATAATCACCCCCATTCCAACGGATAGGGCTCGACTGATGTACCAGTGCGGAACCGCTTCCCATTGACCAGCTATTGGCCCTAGTATCATACCGTTGGAGACTACACTGTCCTCGATGAGGGATGACCCTCTCATCGAGGACGTGACAGCTAAACAGGATCGCAAGATGGCCAGAAGTATGTT